ACTCTCCAAAGAAGATCATCAATTTGATTTGCGATCACTTTGGCGTGTCTAATACGTGTTTTATAAACTTCAACCAGCTCTTCCTGCTTTGCTTTCCTAGTCAGCACTTCCTCTGTCTCTGTACTTGACTTGTTATCAGCTGCTAGACACAGACCAACAATCAACAGTACATGCGCAACGAAATGCATGCGCTATCGGTTTTATTTCGTATTTATAGTTTTATTTTGAAATCTTACCTTTTTGGACACTATCCAAAAAAGCACCTCTCCATAATCTCATTTTAGGTGTGCCTTATTTTCTGAATGTGGTTGTTCTTTAAAACCCGTTGCTGTGTGCACAAAAATATTCTGTGTACGAGTTTGGTATGATAAACCGTTTCATTTCGAGCACATTCTTTCGTTTCCCTCCCTTTCATAAAAACACGATCTATGATTTGAAGTAACTGCCACGCGTTCCGCAAAATCTAAGAAAAGTTTTTGTAGTGCATCCCGATAATTATCAAATTATGTTTCCGTTCATGTTCTATCCGTAATTATGGCCTTAGATGACACGTAATCGAGAACTGAGCAACTCACGGTACCGCCATGCATGGCATGTTAATTGCACTTATCCGTACGGATGAACCGAGAGTGTTTTTTTAGTGCTATGCGTGATCGGCCGTACACATTGCAAGGCATAACACGTCCTATTCGGTCAGCCCATCGTATCGCAGACTTTGAGGTACACACAAAACGCATTCGTACCTTTCAGGAGGCAAACATCCCTTTTTATTCCCCAAGCTGTGCAACGATTGTGACCGAGCAACGCGTGAACAGGATGCACATCCGTTGCCTTTGCCTGCTCCTAAAACACCGCGCAAGCACTCGCTGAGGGCTCCCCGCATTTGATTGCTGAGACAGAACATAAACGCTTTGGAACGGTGCCGTTCTCTGGTACTTTGCGTTGAACGATTGCAGTACAGCAAATGTTGGTCTACGCAACGGAACAGCGTGTCGAGCAAGCGGTGTGCTACAGGCCAGTAGCACATCAAACAGCACTTCGGAAAGTTCTGAGCCTTTAATCTGCCGGTACGAGCCCTGAACAGGAATAAGCAGTAAATAGCAAACCTACCAAACACCGAGCGGTGTAGAGCGGGCAATAACCGAGTGGTTCATCACAGCATGTTCGAACGAACGAGTGTGCACAGCGGTGTTAAACAAGGCACTTGCCGAGAAAAGAAAGCCAAACAAAATCGTACCAAACGAAGTGCCTCAACCATCATCTACCGCACCAATTCGTATCATCCCTTTCATAACCTGCTCACCATGCTGCACGGTACTCCCTTCGTTCTTTGTTTCCACGTTTACCTGTCCCCTTCGGTTCAACCAATAAATCCAACTCCACACCCCCAAATGCTTCCACTTGAACAGCTGCACAATTTCCTTGAGAGGGCCCAAAAGATACGAATCGTAGAGAAGTACCGTACCGTAACACGTACGGGGTATTTGAAAGGATTTGATGAGTACTTCAACTTAGTGTTTGTTGATGAGAGGAATGTTAGTGTGCTGATGAAGGGTGATTCGGTGTGTGCTGTACTATCGGTTGATAATGATGGTGAGCATTAATGTAGGGTAGGATGGGTAGGATGGATGGGTAGGATGGATGAGTAAGTAAGATGGGTAGGATGGATGGATGGGTAGGTAAGATGGGTAGGTAAGATGGATGAGTAAGTAAGATGGATGGATGGATGGGTAGGTAAGTACGTACGTACCTAAGATGAGTAAGTAAGTACGTACGTACTTAAGTAAATAGCGTAATTAACTATCAAAATACGTAAAATAAATTATCACCGCTCTACACGTGAACATTTCTCTAATAGACCCGTAAAACATCCCGTAAAATACTTTAATCAATTCAAACAGAACCATTCTATCCGCCAAATAAGCATGGCACTGCTCAAAACGATTACCGTTCCTCGTTGGGAGTGCTTCTCTCACACGAAGCACCTTACTTGGCAGGAATGCTCATGCACCATGAACGTACCGTACATTTCCTGTTCGAGCACTCCTTGTTCGTAGTGGTAGGGCACAACTACCATTCCTCACTGCTCTCCGCCAAGAGCATGGGCACAGGGCACACCGTGCTCTGCCCGTTTTACCGGTGCACCTTCCCCACCACTACAACACATGCATTCGTGCTCCTTTTTATACCCGTGGTCGATCTGAAACGCATGGTTTGGTATTTTGAGGTGAAACCGTTTAATGCACAGCCCACCACCGGTATGGTGCTATTACGGTGTGATTGTTTTAGTGTGAGAAGCGATGAGTAAGAGCGCGTAGCGCAGCAATGATAAGCATGGTTTGTATGACTGATGCTATCATCATACGTGATTGTGTTGTGTGATGGTGCAGGGTTGTTGAGCATTATTGGTGATTTGAGCGTTGTGAGCGATGTTTTGAGGCAGGATTAGATGGGGAAGACGGACAGACCAGGGCGGTGATAGGATCGTACTGTAAATCAAAAGAAAGGTTAAAGGTGCGATTAATACCCTGCACGTAATCAAGCGCAGCAATTACTTACGATACGTGGCAGCCGTGCTCATCAAGGTGCATGATTTACTAAGCACCCTGCATACGCAATTACCACTCGTACATGCTCCGTTACGCTGCGCGTATCACGTTTGTGGGAATAACACGTATTTATGATAGCGTGACTATGTGGGCGCGAATTATGGCAGTAGTAACTACGATAGTGCAAGATCATGCAGACCAACAGTTCGCATCCTCACACAACGTTTTGCTCCCCATCTAAAACAGAAACAGAACACGTGCCAATGAACGCGCTTGTACGAAACGCTCTTCTTTTTAACGCGCAGTACGGCACACGTCTTATGATACGCATGTTATTGCAAAGCATTGTTGATATGATGGACGGTATGGGGGTGTGTGGGTTGGGATGTGTTGTGTTCGTGGATTTGTTTAAGGTACTGGTAGAGGGTGTGGTAGCAACGGTGGTACGCACTCATCGGGATATGCGTGGTGATGCGGTCTATCATGATGAGGACATTGATCGCGCGCGCAAAGACAGACTTACTCACGAAAACGTGCACAATCAAGGGAGCGGGCATAATTATGATCGCAGGAAAGAACGTACTGCTATGCATAAATGTGTGCTTATGCAACACGTACATAAGAACACATCATGCACCCCCACGCATAAAAAACCGCTCTCTGCCATCCTAACAAAGCACGTATCAATACTATGCACAGTACTACACATCACACGAACATACACACTCATACCAACCGATACAACACTAACACTCACCACTCTCACAGACCTGCACGTATACAACGACCCAACCAATTTCACAGCATGTCCGTACATGCTATCACCGACCCCTTCACTCGTAATCTTAAAAAAGTACGGCACGGAATATGCCATAACATTGAATAATTCGTATCTGTGCAGTTTGGAACGTAAGGTGTTCGAGAATAGCAGTACCTGTCTGTGGGAGATAAAGCAGAACGCGTACGGCTACTTTCTTAAACGGGACGGTCTGTGCTTTCGTGGCGGGTGTATGATGGCTGAATGCAACGATAATGATGAGGATCAGAGTTACATGCTGGTTGAGAAGGAACTTTGTGTAGCTGGCGATGAGAGCACAGTAGAGGGGCAGGTAAAAAATAAAATAATGGGGCGCAAGATTAGCGATGGGAAGGATGATGACAGTACGGATGCTGCGCTGAAAAGAATGGAGGAGAAGTATGGGCATGTTGGGAAGAAGATGAAAGAACTGATTGGTGCACTGCACAAGGACAAGAAGAAGAAGGAACACAGGAAAAAGTGGGGAATGAAATGGAAAAGTCCTAGTTGGAGAGGTATTAAGCTTCCGATGTGCTGAGCAATGGCGGGCAGTAACGAGCCATACAAACTGCGTTATACACGCGAATTGTTCGCCAGAAAGTCCTCAGTAAAGCACGTATTAAGTGCCTGAGCAATGGCACAACTTTCAACAATAAAGGCGGATAAGTGTGCGGTAAACAACGTGTACTGTTCATCATACACCGTGTGGTAAGCAATCCATACAAACAGCCTTGGTAATCTGCATGGCAGGTGGTAAGTACACGTACTGTTTGCTATGGGGAGAGTCATAGGATTGATTGATCGGTTGCTCTGTGACCGCTACCGGGCAAATTCGGTCTTACGAAGCAAAGATCAAATCTGAACGATGAAAATACGTGAATAACACTATGCCGTGGTGCAACTGCAAAATAAATTGTGAAATTGAACGAATTATTCGTGCTTTCTTGCTCTCCTCATCGTACGGTGCACCAAAAAATAGTACGATTTACGAATGCTGCGTAAGTGAACAGCTGCTCGTTATAAAATTAGTTGATCACCTCACAATTAACAGCTCTGCCCCATATCACCGTATGTAACAGCTCATGATCACCACTTTGCTGTGCGGCATTGTTGCGCCATGGTTCAGAGAAACAATTACAAATGCTAAAACCACTATTTCCCATGTCGACACCGAATAAATTTTCCTCTCAAACAGAAAAGAACAGCAGCGCTAAAAACGTACTTTTACAATTGTACGACCCGGTAAAATTGATCGAGCATGTTGTGTACCTTTAAGGATGCCATCCTTTTGCATTGGTTGTGCTTTTTCCCAGCAAAAGCACTTGTTAACTGTCTCACCAAGGGTGCACCGCTATGTTGCGATCAAGGTGCAGTTCTATCGCAATATTTTTTGTTGAACGGGTTAAAAACATTATGCTTGCCACCTATCACCTAAATATTTGCTGTTTGTCCTGCTACGATACATGCAGTAATCTTTGTCTATTCCCTCTGCACATGTTGCAATCTCAGATCAATGCCGATTTAGTTTGATGTCTTATTCATGCATAGGTATGCCGTGTATATTCGTGGTATATCGTCAAAATTTTCGTGACATTAATTCCTGATATGATCAAGCAAATGTTTACAGCGAAAGCGCTACGAATTGAAAGGTACGCATTTAAAATTCATGTATAGCGCCTATGAATCAGCGATGTTCTACGTAGAATCATGGCAGAATGCTCCATCTACCGCATTCTAATACGGTAAGCCCTCTATCATGTAACTGAAACCAACCACGCATCCATTGAGCGGATGGACACCGCAAAGTCGTCTTGTTCTGCTCTTACCATTTAATGCATAAAGCAGTAAAGTCGCATTGCCCAACACGCAAAACAAAAACTCACCTAAAACAAAGTGCATGTGATTGTTTCATGTGTTATTCAATTGCATTCTCATTTCGCATAGAATGGCATACGGAACAATAAGCAACGCAAGAATATTAGACAGAATGAAAGCATCAGCGTGTTCATGGATGCGAGAGTGCAATATTTCGGATGTTATCGTTGCGATGGGCGTGGTTCTCTGTCTTACCGGGCTGTGTACCCCCAATATTTTGATCTGTGGTATATTATGCATCCTTTTAGCGGTGCGTGTTGTGAAAGGATCCCATATTTGGGGTACACTCAATAGCACCAAGGGTATTATTCGTGCAGTGATCGGTCGAACAAGCATATTTGTTCATACTCGCACAACGGGGCACACCGTTGCTCGCATAATTCTGCGCATTCTGATGCATGTGATACCTGCCGTTGTACAGGCTGTGATTGGTTTCACCGCCTGCACTACAGATTTAATTAACAGGTCTAATGCGGCGGATATGATTATCATGGTCGGTACGGCATGTATGCGTGCATGTGGGGTGCGTATCATCCATGAAGCGTACTTTGCTCCTTCACGTGTCGTTATATGCGTGCTCATCTCCCTTGGAATTCAACGAGCACCTCTAACGCTATCAATTGAGGATGCGTTAGAGGTGCTCTGCGCTTCCAACTGCCTGTTCAGTAGCACATGTCTTAGCCGTACTGCTGGTGTCGTATGCCTACTGTTCCATGCACAGCTATGCGGTTGCTGTGATTTTCTGCTTCTCTATCCACTGAGTCCTAAGGTTTTTCCCATACCTGGTGATAGCACCTGTCGCACATCATATCATGCATGGATAACTTACATTGTATTTATAGTTGTGTCTAATGCAAGAATGCATAAACAATTAAGAATTATGGTACGTTATCATGCTGTGCACACTCTTATTTCTTTATGCATATCGTCAGGAAAGAACATATACAGAGACGTACTGAACGCGTGCATAAATGAACAATCTAAATATGGTTCTAGAACGTTTTTCAACATTAACATAAAAAGGAGCACTGGCATGATGTACAACGCACATGGCAAGAGGGCAGTGCTAACAAACAATTTTGTGGCACAAACGGGTATAGATGACACCAAAAACATGGGATGTCAAGCTTTTACCGATTTGGTGGTGCAAAATAGTTGTTTGAAAGAATTGAGCGACAAGGGCACGATCGTAGTTTGTGGAGACAAAAAACGCAAACATCGAATGATAGAAGATTGCACGTACATTAACGTAGAAAGAGACGATGCGTATGATGGTAGAGCTGAGATAGAAACGGAACAAAGAAATGCAGTTCTCACTGCGAAATGGAAGGTAACGCAGCGTACACACACCAAGGGTCTAACAGTGCCATGCAAACGCACCGAAACAAAGAGAAAAAGAGCGCATAATATGAACATGAAAGACAAAAGATCGACATTCAATGCACCTATTTGTACTAAAACGAATATTAGTCATGGTAAATCCAGCATAGGTGTACAGAACGAGCACGGGAGCATAAAAGAAGATAATGGCATAGTCTGTCTGATGAGCACGAAGAAGCGAGATAAATGCGTAAAGAAAGGAATTAATCTGTTCGATAAAACAATGAATACAGGTGATAATGCGCTTAGTGCTCATGATTGCCACAACATGCGAGCAGGTGCCTTAATGTCCTACATAAACATTCTCATCCTATCACTGCTCATACTTCCATCCTCTTCACATTACATCATGCACAACAATTTCTATCTGCATGCGATCAATCGCAAGGTCGTGTTGAGCCGCGACAGAACATCCTTTAAAATAGAGAAACACGGTGCTTTCAGTAAGCTACGAGTTCGTGACCTGTATATGAACGAGCACATGAGACTGAACACCAAAGGATCACATTTTATGATAGAAAGGGTCATAAAGAATAGAAAAGACTCATCCGATAACCCGTCCAGACGCCATAGAAAAGAGTATTATTTTGCGCTGCGTAGAAAGAACAAGTGCCTGGCCGTGTGTGGCAATGAACTGAAAATGTCGCATCAATGCTCCATATTTAGGTTTGGTACTGCGAACAACTGCGACTTTGATTTTGTAAGGATGTTTAGAGAAGGCGTGTTCGTGCAGCCGTTCAGTGATGCCCTTGTTTTTATCAAGAAGATGACCGAGTGTGTGGATGACAAAGGATTGAACGGTTGTGGTGTATCGTAGGGAGTAGTTGAGTATTGGTGTGATGCGGTGAAGTGGTACGGAGCAGGTGTGTGAGTAGCGGTTAACAGGGTAAATAAGATGGTGCATTACAAAGTAAGGTAGAAGAACTCTAAAGCAGAGTGCAAACGTGGAGGTGTGATGAGATGGAATAAGGGCATAGCAAGCACCGTGACATACGAAAGCAATTACATATAAGCATAGCACATCACCGGGCATCAAAAGGTGCATTAATGTATTGCTGTGTACGCCGTAAACATTCATTCTATGCATTAACACACCTATTCGTTGAGAGTAATGCACATTTAAACAAAATTAAACATTTTTAAAGCTGTGGTCGTTTGCTACGTGTTGTTGGGTAGGCTTAGTAATCATTTGCTGTTATCTTTACGAACTATTTCTACGTGTTGTTGTTGCTTTGTTCTTCCATTACCATTTCAAGTAGTTTAATCTCTCTTCATCTCTAAGCCTCTCTTCTTTCCTATTCCGTATCAATACTTTTTCCGATCAATTATCCATTCCCTTCCATATCAACACTTCTTCCTCCTTATCAATGCCCATTTTAGTACCTCTCCCTCTCCGTCCTAACCAATCATATCTCACATCGATCATCATATCTTATCTGTTTCAAATCATACCCTACCATTAAAATGTACGATTTACTACAGACGTAGATGAACGTACTGCTCACAATACTTCATTTCATTCCCACTCTACACACCTCCATAAACCTTGTCATACACTCCCAGCCTATCTACTTCAAATCATACACCCTATCAACCGTATCATCCCCGTACGATACGTTCACCCTCAACAACGGCATGCTAACAATAGGTGACAAAGCGTTGTGCCATCGTTACGGTTCAACCACAGTAAATACGTGCACGATAGACCACAACGATAGAAGAATGCTAAAAATACGAATGATCGGTGGATGCACACGTATCGGTACGAATGGCATGTGTGTGAGTGTGAATGGTGGAATGGTTGGTTTGAGAGAGTGTGGGGGAGTGGGACAGTGTGCATTGGTACAGAATGTGGAGGATGAGAGTGATGATGGTGATAAGAATGGTAGAAGTGTTCGTGTTGGTGGTGATGGTGGTGATGTGAACAGTGGGAGAAGGTATGGGGCGGGATATGACGAGAAAGGAATGGTAAATTTGAATGGACGGGACAGTAGGAAAGGAAGTAACAGAGAAATGGTAGGAGATGAGAATGAAGGGAGCGGGAAGGAAGGGAGTGGGAAGGAAGGGAGTGGGAAGGAAGGGAGTGGCAATAAAAACAGCAGTGGCAATAAAAACAGCAGAGGCAATAAAAACAGCAGTGGCAATAAAAACAGCAGTGGCAATAAAAACAGCAGTGGGAATGAAAATAGCAGTGAAAACAGCACAGCAATTAATAATGAACAAGCAAACGATGCCAATACATCAACAGTAACCGGTACAAGTCCCTTCAACTCACAATCATACGATCTGTCACGTGTACAGCAGTCCTTAGATGATGCATTTCACACCATCACCGAGACAAATCCAGAAATAGAGGTTAATATCAAACGGGTCATTCCCAAGTGTTTTAATGGGTACGAAAGTATGGATGAATATTTAAGGGATGTACTTCCGAATGTAAGGAAGATGAGAAAGAAGTATTGTTATAATGAATTTTATGATATAGGGGGATGATACGTCATGGTAAGAGTAAGTAATGATTGGTAGGTATTAACAAATAAAGCAATGCATTATTTTACCATTATTTATTACACCGTGCTGTACGCTACCAATCATCAATGATGCTAGCATTTTTATGTAATAGGAGTACAAACTTAGAAGATGACTTGTCAGTTTGTGCAAATAAATTATTTTACCCTTCAAAAATAAGAAATGTTTATTTTGTATTTCTGTGCAACATTAAGTGCTAAAACTTTTATCTAACCCATTCTCTCCAAGATACGTTTAGTTAACATTTCCAAACAATATTAAACCGCATAATTTGGAATAAATTCCTTAACCCTTGTCGAAGATCTGAAACAAGTAAAGTAGTTGGTGAATAAAAGTATGAAGTATTAAAGAAAGGAAGTGCCGTTTATTATGCAAGCAAATTTTACTACGTTTTATAAACGGAGTAGCACTGCCATTTAATAATGCAGGTACTGCCCACCACAATTGCTCACCACAATTAATCACCATATACACAATACTTCATCATCACACCCCTTCACCACCACAACTAATCACCACACCCCTTCACCACAATTAATCACCATATACACAACACTTCACTTACGTCCTATGCCTTTGAGAGACTCTCTCCTGTAGTACTCCTCATTCTTGTCCATCACTTCCAGCACGATCTTCTCTTTCTCAGCAATAGTGCCCCCATCAACACTGCCACCACCCTCCCTAGCAACAAACACCTGCTCATCCCTACCATCACACTTCCCCAAGCCAACTCGTCCATAGTAGTACGTAACACACCGCCCATCGCTCTCCAGCATGTACTTATCATCATCTACCACCACCATCCTAAACACGCTCTCAAGCTCATCATACGTGCACACCGCCACGTCCCGCTCCTCCCTATCCACACACACCTTCATACCGCAGTAGAACACTTCGTAGTGGTTGTCCGATATCTTACGTAGCTGTGCGAATGTGCAGTACGTGTTCAGTGCCTGCTGGAAGGCCTTGCTTAGGGGCAGTACGGACAGGTGGAGGGTGTCTATGCCCAGCACAAGACTGTCATTGTGCAGGAAGTGCAGTTCTATCAGTTTGGATGTTAGCAGGGAGATGAATAGGAACATGAGGAGGGGTGGTGAAGGGTTTATAATTGTTTATGTGAAACTGTGTTAGTGGTGATTTGATTAGGTGTTGAGTAGAGGAGGGGTATTTATGGGCGATAGGTACGTTTATGAGATGGGTGGTAGTTATGGGGTAGGGGGGTATTTATGGGATGGGTGTTTTTAAGGGTGTGATTTACGAGGGTGTGATTCACAGGGACACGCTTACGAATTAACAACGCTTACGAATTAACAACGCTTACGAATTAAAACGTTCATGCCAAAGAATGGTGCCCGTGCTGACCATCAATAACAACCCTGCGATAGAACACCCCCATCGTATCACCGCTGCTCATAACCGCCATACAACCGGTCAATCACCCATCTATCACCAATCCTACCACGCTCACAGTACGCCATCCTTACCATAGCTCCACCCCTAACAACAAACTCATCCCCACTGATCCACCGCACACCATCAATCACCCCCATCCCATTCGTGCTCAGCACCTTCACCCGTACCGTTCTATCCACACCAACCACCAAGGCATTTTCTCCGTGCTCAGGGTTGATGAAATTTATGACGTGGCACTGCACAAGCGCGACAGGTCCTTTCGCTGATTTGTTGTATGCGGATGAGCCGGTCTGTGTGCTTATCAGGACTGAATCGCATCTCACGGTTATTTTGAACGTGTTGTGGCTATGCGCATAAATGCTGTTCAAATCGGTGCCGGCAGAACGGTTGGTCGTGCCAGGGCTGCCAACCGTATCGGCATCCCTGAGCGCACCGCACCCCTCATCGTAAACATGCACCTCAAAAATGTTCAATCGACCGGGATATCCCCTTCCAATGACCAGCTCGTTCACAAAGTACCCCTTCCCCACCACCTTGCTCAACCTGCGCATTACAAATTTAAAACTGCCAAATTCTTTTTTAAGATCATCCCTTGCCAGCAGGCATAAATGACCGGCATGTCCGTAGTTGAACACGTAGAACGTTAGCGGCTGATCTGTGCTGTCGGACAGCACGTTCTGATCGTTTGGCCTGTACTTGTGTGTGCGGTTCTGTTGGTGTGATGGGCAATGTTTGTGGCTGTTTGTGCGGGGTGCTTCCTTTTCGTTGGTTTGTGCTGGGCATGTGCGGTTTTTTATGCTTTCTGTTTTTGTGGCGGTACCGCTATTGATAAGGGCACTGTTTGGCACGGTTTTACCATTTTGATTTTTCTTACTTTCATCCTCCCCACTTTCATCCTCTCCACTTTCATCCTCCCCACTTCCACCCTCTCCATTTTCATCCTCTCCACTTCCACCCTCTCCATTTTCATCCTCTCCATTTTCACCCTCTCCACTTCCACCCTCTCCACTTCCACCCTCCCTACCTATAACGCCATCCATCCGCACCTCTCCATCGCTCTCAAATTCAAAACCACCAAACATCCTCTCATACACCCATTCAATCTCATCAATTGCCTTTCCACAGCTCAGCAACGCTCCACACGCACTAAGAAACGTACCATCACCACCCAGCACAATAACATTCGGTGCTCCGCTTTTCACCTCATACCTCGTTGTCAGGTATGCACGTGCTGACTGGATGGCCGGCGATGGCACGGATGGTAAAAAGATTTGGAAATGCATTTTTTTGGGGTTGCGCAATTCGTGTGATAGGATGGATGATGGTTTGTTATTATGCGCATAATGCAATAAGAGTTATTGTACAGTATAAATAGGTGGAGGTGCCATGATGCGTTGTATTTGCGTGTTTGGAGCTGTGCAGTGCATAATACAGGACATGAACGGGAAGAATTACAATTTAGGAAAACGTAGTGGAGGGGAGAACGAGAAAGAAATTGTGGCGTACCACGAATAGAAGACACCAAGGATGTGATCCGCTGTTTGTTCAAGACTGCTAGATGTGCCTGCCACGTGAAATACGCTTTTCATCACCTGCCATAGCGGTTCTCAAATGAGCACTTTTTCCACGGAATGTAAAGTGCTGTTATCGTTCACGCGCGGTAAGAAATGTGGTGAGGACTGGCTTAGATTCACCAGAACGGCAGCAGAGCGGACAGGCCGACTCGTTCACAATGGCATTGATTTTGAACCTGCTCTGACAAGCGAATTTGTGCAAAAGTGACCGGGTCGTGGCAGAAAGTTGCGCCCAAGAACTGAGATGTACCAGCTCTACCCGTTAAACATTCTTGGCGAGCGCACTATCCCAAGATGGTACATGGGGCGACTCTTGGGCGGTTTCGTGCCACTGATGCGACCAAACGGCGAGCGCAAATTTACACGATAAACAGACCTTCTGGCCGTGCGCACCCCGAACTGACGGTTTCTGCGGATGTGAGTTGTGCCAGCAAAAGAGTGTGGCATGAAAAGTTGTTTATCGGTGCGTACCTACGGCACTGCAGGTGTTGAATGATTAGTTGATCAGAACGTACATTTTTGGTTATTAGCATGTAGTTGGCATGGACACTGCCGACAAGAACAGAACACGCCAATGGGACGAGCAGGGGGGTATGCACGTGGACCGTATGATGTGCAGCATGCGTGATCAGCCGTGGCTGCTGTGCCGGTGCACAGATGTTCATGACCATACACGGTTGTGCTGTTCTGGCCCGGTATGTGTGCCCTGCCCACCACAGTACTGTTCTGGTCTGGTGCACAGATGTTCATGACCATGCACGGTTGTGCTGTTCTGGCCCGGTATGTGTGCTCTGCCCACCACAGTACTGTTCTGGTCTGGTGCACAGATGTTCATGACCATGCACGGTTGTGCTGTTCTGGCCCGGTATGTGTGCTCTGCCCACCACAGTACTGTTCTGGTCTGGTGCACAGATGTTCATGACCATGCACGGTTGTGCTGTTCTGGCCCGGTATGTGTGCCCTGCCCACCACAGTACTGTTCTGGTCCGGTAAATCTCAGCATTCGTTTTAGCCCTGTGTCTGCCCCCTCCTATCACCGCGTTTTATCAAAAATGAAACGAAACGTTTCAGAACAAATCAATAAATACCGCTATGACAACACTGAAGGATGTTACCGCTACTATTCCTTGCGCTCATAAGTGCTAAAGAGGCACCTGCAGAAAACACCAACGAACCCGAAAGCGCCTCTACATCCTCGCACGACTGGAAGTCTCTCTCATATGCCGTGCTGATCTCACCGTGGCTAAGAAAAGACCTATTCGTGAACACGGCAACGGCCCAACTGGAGGTAAAGAGCAACGATAACTCAGATCTCTACAAATTTCAGGCTGACGAGCCCGATGGTCGGGGAATGGGATTCCTGCTGATGAACAAAGCTGGCGAGTATTTCATAATCGATCCCAACATGACGGTAAAACTGGTGCAGGAAAAACCGCAGGACTTATGGCTGTTCGCCATGAAGAGAAGTGGCAGCATAGACGTATCCTATGCTCGATTCGGTACAAAATGTTTGCTGTACACCAAGGATAACCAATTGACCGGCACAAACTGTGCCGATATCGGTGAGAATGTGGAGGAGGACGGGTTCATTGTCATAATAATGAATAGCTCGTTGAAGGAGGTATCGGATGAAATGAGGATTATAGACAGCCAGATTGCTACGGAAAAAAGTGAAAAGAATGTGGAGGAGCCTGAGGAGGAAAATAAAAGGGAGGAGCAGAAGAAGGAAGAGTTTGTAGGGATTAGGTTTGAAGATGGAATGCCCGAGAAGAAGAACGAGGGAGGCACTGGGAAGAGAGGAAGGGATGCTGAGGAGGAGGGCAAGGGGCCGGAGAGTAAGAGGGCAAAGAAAGAAAAGGAGGGGGACGAACCGAGGAAAGGCTCTCAGGGCAAGGGCGGTGAAGGTAAATCGAGGAAGAGACCTGCCTCTGATGATGATGAGGAGGAAGATGAGGGTAAAGGCAAAGAAAAGGGGCCAAAAAGAGGTGCGAAAAAGCCAAGAAAGGGTGCGAGTGACGAGGAAAAGGCATCACCCTCTGGCGATGAAGCAGCTCTGAAAAAGATGCTAGAAGATCTTCTGGCCAAGGTGGATAACGTTAAAGATGCGATGGAAAAGAGAGAAGGTTCGGGAAAGAGTGACAAGCAGCAGAGCGGAAAGTTGAAGCAACCACAACGAGGTAAGATCAGAGCAAAGGGATCGGGCTTGAAACCGGGCAACAAAGACGATGAGGAAGATAAGCTGACAGGAGGAGGACTGTTTGGCAATGCATTGAACACGCTTGGCAATGTGGCAGACCTGGCGATCAATCCTACTAAAAAGGCGAAGATGGCGTTGAATGCGGCTGAAGCTTTGAAAGGTCTACTTGAACCGGAGACCAAGGAAACAGAATAAATTATATTTGTTAATGTTAAGGCGGTTCGTTCCTGATGGTGCGAACGGATCACTCGTGAAGATCGAGCCATCGTTTAAGTGGGGTCTTTGAGCCATGCTGATGATTTGGTGCGAAGGCATTCGTGTGATGAGATGGAAGCAAACGCTGGTCATTGCACGCATTTCTGGGCGGAAGCGAATAAATTTACTGCTTGCACTGCGCTTGTGATCGGTTGTTGATTCTTGACGCTTTCTGATCCGTGTTGTACCCCTTAGCAGACCGTTTGTGCGGTCTAAGCCAAAACTGTTCTGCGTTTGAAGGCTTACCCGTTTGCTCACGCCAACACAACATTTCCTTATCCGTTTAGACCGCAAGAACAGTTTTTAGGTACGTGCACGGTTTTGAGGTGCTTGGCCTGTTAACAAGAACTGTGCTCGTTGTGGTTTGTCGGCAGGCAGAAGGGTTTAGGATAGGGCGCAGCACCTTTCGATAATGCGTACTGTGGTGGATGGCAAAGTGTTCGTCAGAGCAGCCTCGCTAACACAAACTACGGTGATTGTGCCATCGAGTCGCTGTTCAGAAATTGTTGTGAGCTGCCATCAGGCGAACCGTGATCAAATTTAGCGTTGCCGTGAGAACGAATCGCTTGCATCAACCTCAGCAAAGAGAGAGCGCGCGAACCACACCGCCAGATTTGGGCATTCTACCGCAGCAAAGGAACAATCGCTGTAACCAATCGTTTGTTCATCTCCTCATGCATCGAAAAAGCGATTTCCACGCCAGGGATAGTTACCGATGAGGACGTGCACCGTAGCACGGTCTTTCCTGTGGAGAACAGAACGACCGCACCGCAGCAGATCTGAGTGCACTTACGTGTCACCGCGCAGATCTTGAAAGCAGACTCTTACTCAACAATTTTATTTACTCGATATCAAGGCCATCTGCAGGGTCTACGTCGGGCAGCAACGCTCTCCCGCAGCATGGGCAAGTTCTCTTCTCAAGCATCCATTTGTACAGGCACGTGAGCTGGAACCCGTGTCCGCACGGTGCATACACCAGGTCATAGTCCTCGAAGCAGATCGGACATTCGCTCGAATACCTCTTCGCTTTCTTGCCGCTTATCTCGTCACAGACCGCCACATCAAGCAGGTCGTACTTAAGAATGTTCAGTGCCCGTATTAACTCGTCCTCCTCGCTTTTTATTCTGCTCGTCTTCAACCGCTTCTCGAACAGTGCCTCCGCGCTCGTGAGCACAAGCTTCACGTCCGATGTCAGCCTCGTCGTCTTGATGTGCGAGTAGTTATCGCTTGTTCTCAGCTTGTACAGCATTCTGAACACAAGTACCATCTCGTCCAGGTATTTCTGGAACGAATTGCTGAGGACCGCATTGTCGTCTGCCTGGTTGTTCAGGATCTGGTAGCGTATTTGGTAGTCGAGCAGCAGCTCGTTGTGCTTCTTCTTGCTACCGCTCAGCGCGTGCTGCTTGGTGACACTGACGTACTTATTGTTTCGGCGCGGGGGCACGAATATGGAGTGGAAGTCCTTGCGAATCTTGCTTATGTAATTTCGTGGCCTGTGCTCATCAAGAATGAACACGCGTTCTGTGAATATCATGGTGATGAAAATGAATAGAATGTGATGCATGTCGTATCTCTTCCGCTTTCTTTTATAGATTTTATGGCAATTTATCACATTCTAAGAATGGAAAGAACGAAAATATCCTTTAAGGAAAAATAGGAAAGTAAATTAAAATTGCAATAAAGTGCTGAACGAGCGGTGTGATTGCATGTTATAATACGGCAGTGAACCGCAATTTCTTATAAAACGGGGCAAATTGCTGTTTGCTGCTGGCATGTTCGGATCAATAAACGTAATATAGCAGACATGTGGACACGGGTGCTACGGAAGGGAACGGTCAGGACCGGGCTCATTGCTCAGCACCACACGTTGCAAATCAAACGGTGTAAAAATAATATAGCGTGCACATGGCAGGGCAGCACACTGTGGAAGGCATCATACCTACGCTTCAGTACCTGCTATCACTGCTCACATGCTGTTCCGTGCTAATTCATTTTTAATTTATCAATCGTTTTGTGCTGCGTTGAAAACGAACAAATTTGGAATAAATGATGCAAAACGTGTGATTATCATTGAATTTGTTGTACAACGTGTTTTTTACGTTTTGGCACGTGCAAAATGTGCAAGCAGAAATTGCGCACCGTACCGCTCTGTTCGTGCAAAATGTGCAAGCAGAAATTGCGCACCGTACTCCACTCCAACACGTGCTCATATTTTGATCACCACTATTTCGTAAATTGTGATCAATCACTTCAATATTACCAAATGAAACGCTGTGCTTGCTTGCACTGAATTGTGCACGATATGGTCAAACAAGCAGCTCCTCCCATCCCATAGACCGGCAGCACCGAACGTATTTTGGCCTGCAAAACACCGGACACGTCCGTGTTTGCATCCGCATGGCTGATTGTCTTCTTTGCAACCAAAATCATTTTATGTCTCTCTTACGATCAAATCCAGTGATATCCTCTTTTGTTACCGTTTGAGAGTGAAATTGATTTTTAATCAATAAAATTTTTTGGGCAGTTTTAGAGCTTAAACACGGTTCGGTACCGGTTCAGAAAGAAATGGTGCAAATGTTTGTGTTCGTCTGCGGGCAGCAATTAGGAGAGGTGGCAAGATGGCATGGTAACATGCTCCAGCGTGGAGTACAAATCGAGAGCTTCTATCCTACGCCTACAAAGGAGGACGAACTGTTAGGTCGTGTGCACGCCTGTACAACCAGGTTTTTCACTAAAAGTCGCTTATTCATCTCCTCATACACATCATCCAAAGAACACACTTTTTGGTCTGCTGTGCCCGATCGTGGCCACTAGCCTTGGTTTGGAGGAGAAATTCGTGCGCAGGCCTGCATGGCAACACAAAGGTGTGCAGCAGTGGCCCCAGCACACAAGCTGAGCCTTCCACACATTCCTGAACACCTTTCTTGCCATTTGCAGCTCAGTGCAATTCGTGGGCAGTGTACGGCTAAGCGATGGGCATGTCCATTCAAATGCTGTTCTGCATCACATTCCGTTGTTCATCTGCATTTGTAAAATGTTTCAATCTGGGATGATCAAATCTCCGTTTTCTGAGCACATCACTGATCAAAAATATGGCACGAAGTAACTCCGCATCGGAAAGGACAGGCATGAGCTCAATGATTGAGTATGCGCTCCAATCTGCAAATATCATGGTAATTACGGGGTATGCCAGGTATTGTCGTTGCCTTTGCACTTCCGCATTAGGAATTTAAACAGCTTTCCATTTTTAAGGCCTGTCACAGAACCATAAAAAGGTCTGCCCTGCAAGATGAGATTACCCCTTTGCGATAGCAATTGATGTTCTTACGAAGCAATACCTTTTATTTAGAACATCCTCTCAATCTCAGACTTTGCCTCCTCTGCAGCCTCGATGAGCGAATCGCACCCCTGATCAAAAGTTTCGAGCTCGTCCAAATCGTACATTCTATCCTTCTCCACCATCTTTACGAGTACGGTTGCGTTATCTACAAGCTCCTTTATGAGAGACAGCAGCTTGGACACCCGCAGCTTCTTCCACGTGTAGGTTCCCACCGAGTCATCCAACTGGTCAACAATGTCCGAAAGTGCTTCGTACACGTTCCACAGCTTCGAGCTGTACTCCTTCTCCAAGCCCTTATCAACTCGTTTCTGAATTTTGTCCTTCAATTCGCTCAGCATGCTTCCGATCTCATGTCTATCCATCCTGTACTTGGGCGTTGTGCTGGTTCTTTCGCGCGCAACCTGCGTGTAGAACAGGTCATAACGATTGCTGAACGTCTCCGAGTTATCCCTTGCCTGCAGTTTTACCGTTTTTGGCTGTTCCAGCTGCGGTATCTCCTCCAGTGCAACCGATTCATAATCAGAAGGCTGCGATCGATCAACACGCAAAACCTTCCTGGTTGATGGCTCTGCCTCCCTCAGGCCGTAGTCACGGGGATCGGAGTACATCGTGTCGACGTACTCGGTGTGTGCGGGGGTCAGTGAGTACGTAGCCTCGTCATCCGAAACGTAGCTGTAGGCACGGTAGCTGCACCTGTATGCAGCTATGTATATCAAAAGTGCTGCTGATAGATTGTGTATGGCCAACATGGATGTGATTGCGCTGATCATTTTTATACTTTTAAAGTAATTTGTGTATTTTTGTAAAAATTTATTTTTAATTTGTAGAAATTCAAGCACTTCCCAAATGAGGAATATAAAATGATTGATGAGCGTTTTTGCACGCTTTGGTACGATCAGATCAAAAAATAGAATTGGGTGAAATGGACCCGTGTTCTGGATGAAGATGACCTGTATTCTGGATGAAGATGAGCAGGGGCACTGCGTGCACGAGATAGTGCTGCGGTTACTGCCATTTGTATTTATCACTCCACATTTTGCCTGATCAACGTATCGTTCACTCTCTTTGCCCGATACGCACCCTTCACACGAACCGGAACTGATCGTGTGCACAGCGAGGTGCACACAAAACCTGTGCAGCTGCATCACGCCGTTGCATTTCGTGGAACGTGCTATCGCTAAACGCATTTTACCAGCACAGCGTTTATACGCTAACAGTGGAGCGAGATCGCGAGCACATTGCAGGATTAACCCGTTTTAATAAATCACAGGATTTTTAATTTGTCTTTAGCGGCAGCGCACCGGGTGACTTTACAGTTTTAACGGACACGTCATCTCAGCAGAGAAGATGGGCGCTGTTCATGTCTACGGTCATTTCTGCTACGAATAAAACCAAAAACAGATTATTTCAACTGCAGCGCAGATGTAACACACCGTTAGGTCTTCCTCGCCAAAAATTGTGTATTTACCACTTTTTTATCACTCAGCTAATTTACTCGCAGTACCGCACCGTAACGTGCAAGAAAGGCACTTCGTTGCCATGAATCGTAAATTTGCGTTTTGCCATGTTAGTAATGCGTTGCTATCATTAGGGCTAGAGAGGTGTTCATTTATTCTCCTCATCTCCTCATTTCCTCATCTCCTCATCTCCTCATCTCCTCATCCCTCACCTCATCCCTTCTCCTGCTGCAAAAAGCCCGCAAATTAAACACCCGCTACAACCGCACCAATCGCATGCCTGATTACCACACGTACACATCATCGTACCAGCGGCTATGCACCCATTTCTCACCGATGTGCCCGGGTTCGTGTGATGAGCGGCACCAAATTTGCTTGAGCAGGGATCGAAAAGGCTGCGCAGCACGGGCCGTACGCCAGGTACGATGCTGCCACGTGTTATGACGCTGTTCATCGCTCTCAGAGGCGATCGACACGCAATTCCTTTCAAAACACTTCCCAAACAAAGATGTTTTAGCCATCACCACCAAATACAAAAAACATCACACACACACCCGCATGTTAACCATCAGAGCGCCTGTTTGCGATTTATTCCCGTCCTATATCACGCCGCATTTATGCAAAGCAATCCCTGCTGCCATCAAGCTATCGGTCCGCATCCTCGTGCTCTTCCGCCTCTGCCTTATCGCATGCGAACCGCTCACCGAGGAGGGATACATCTACTCGGTTGACGAGCGCAAATTCCTCGACTACCAGCACAAGCAGGATGCCCTCGTGTTCGTTGAGTACGACCACATGCCGCCTGCGTTCAGGATGGTGGAGACCGAGTCAGGCGCAGTCTTTTTGGAGGATGAGAACGGCAACGCGCTCGACTCCTCACGCAGCAACTACGATCTGATCCTGTTCAAGAAGCATGGCGGGTGGAACCAGCAGTTCTCGCTGGTGACCGTTCCACGCGACATGGTAAAGCTGAGAGTCGGCAACCGGTGCATGACCACCGAAAAGAACATGAAGTACCTGACAGAGGTGGACTGCGACACGTTCAGCAACAAGCCCGGCCAGTTCTTCAAGTGGATCAGTAAGAAGGACGAGCAGGTGGTGCGAGATTACATCGAGCGGTGCAGACGTGGCGGGCGGCGAAGAGGGCCGCGGTACAACGACGATGCGTACGACGATGAGTATCCGAGGCGGGGCCGTGACAGGCCGTACAGAAGGCGGCCAAGGGTAAGGCGGCGTGGCGATGGCACACGGGATGATTACGAGCCGCAGGATTACGACAGGCGCGACTACGATGACCGTGATTATGATAGGCGGTCGTATGACAGGCCGTACGATGCGTACGATGATTCATCGCACGATAATGAAAGGTGGGATCAAAGGCTTAAGCCGTGTTTGAACCTCAATGAGGACAAGCTGAGGGACAAGCTGTACGATCTGAGGGCAATAGCGAACAACAACGTTGTGCTGTGAGGTGCACGATGTGCTGCAAATGGCGGGTGCCAACGGACACGGAGCAAAGGCAGCTGGGTGTAATTAGAGGATGGGGCGTTGTGGTGTGTGAGATCGGTAGGAAATAAAAAAATTGTTAAATTTTGGTACTTCAGCGCTGTGTTTGGCCGGGCCGGTGGTTACGCCGTGGAATCAACACAACGGGCAGACCATGACGCCCCCAACACGCTCATCCATCAAACGTACGAGGTGCTCCTCCACGATCAAAACAATGCGCGTAGCGTATGCCATTCTTGCACCCCCGCCACGTACCCGCAGCCAAATGACCACAATTTATTTTTGCATCCGCACCGCTTTACCATTCCTAGTTCACGCGGTGCTGCGCTACCACGTGAACCGCTTCATCAGCGTAAAACTGCTGCACCGCGCAGTTCATGCACGTTAAACCGGTCACATAAATTTTATTTAAACTACGCTCGCTGCCACACATCCCTTGTAATTCTGAGTACGTCCCCAATCGCACAACCTGCCCAAGATATTGATAATCCCTCCCCTTCCACCCACACTACCTCCACACTACTTATCCAAAACATTACTCCTAAAACTCTCATACTCCTTCACCACATCATTAATCCTGTGCAACAAACCCTCCGTATCCATCCTATCAACCGATTTATCACTAACCAAGCTCATCTTACCAATTTTACCATCCCCCTTCAACTTCTCACCCTTACCCGCACCCTCCTTACCAATGCACATCAACATACCAACGTAAAGCAACATCATCAATTTTAACATGCAAGGCACGAACCGATAGCTAAAAAATACAATTTAATACAAAATGTGTCACATATCACAAACTTGTTTGTGATTGTGTGGTTGATGTGTACATGCTTTATGACTGTTGACCTGTGTTAACGGTACAGCTTCGAAGATGTGGGGGTGATGAGATTTTTACTTTTTATAGGATGAGGAGTAGGGGGGAAGTGGAGAGAGGAGTGAAGAGGAGTGAAGAGGAGGGTGAAGAGGAGAGGAGTGAAGAGGAGTGAAGAGAGGAGTGAAGAGGAGTGAAGAGGAGAGGAGTGAAGAGAGGAGTGAAGAGGAGGGTGAAGAGGAGGGTGAAGAGAGGAGTGAAGAGAGGAGTGAAGAGGAGGGTGAAGAGAAGAGTGAAGAGAAGAGTGAAGAGAGGAGGAATAACATACCAAATAAACATACCATATAAACATACCATATAAATATACCAAATAAACATACCATATAAATATACCAAATAAACATACAAATAAATGTAAATAATACGTAAAGACAAACACTAAGAAATGATTTATTGCACGTATTAACGGTAAAGGTGCAGAGAATGGCTGAGTAATACGCAAGGAATAATAAACGGTACGGTACGTACATTCTTAAGCATACCGTTCTTAATATACGGTACCGCAGTACATGCACGCAATAAAAGCGTACAGCACCAACATCTTTTCAGTACGTGCCAAGCATTTCATTTCTAAGCACCGTTCTATTCCGTGCTACCGTTCATTTCATAAAGGCAACCAATCGTAACAATCAATCTGTTGGTGTATAATCGCTAAGGTAATGCATAATTGTAACAAGCACCACAGTGCTGTGTTCTACCGGTACCGCACCAATAGAACAATCCCTTACAAAATGAACCACTCATCATTGCACAACCAAAACACTTCTCGCTAAAGCACTGCATGCACATCACAAGTGGCACACAATCATAAATTAGCACCACGTGTTTTGACCAGAGCTATAATTGATGAAGCATTGGAAATGATATGCTATTTTACGTACTGGTGGTAATGAGCAAGCGCTTTGAGGTGCATGATGAAGATGTGGTGAGCAAGAATGAGATGAAAGAGAAGAACTTATCGGTTAGACAGATGGAGGAGGGTGAAGATGGTAAGGATGGGGGTAAGGATGGGGGTAAGGATGGAGGTAAGGATGGAGGTAAGGATGGAGGTACCAGCACCAATTCTAATGCACTCTTTGATGGTGATGCAGAACTAAAACCAAGAGAAGAAGATTCTACGGAGCACATCGCTAAGTACTCCTCAAAAGCACACAATAACAACCGCGTAGCATTTCAATCTCTCAAATCGCTAAAAAAGCAAAAAAAAATAGAAAGACACGAAAGGAACTCGCAAATAAAAGTGACTGACCTGAATTACTTCAAGGATGAGGTGAAGAGGAACCATAACTCGCACGTGCACCGTGTGGGCAGCTTTGCTAACAAAGCGTACTACACGTACTTTTCGTACCACCCTAGTATTAGGCATAGTGCATGGGTGTTTCATAATGCACACCATGGTGTGCGTGATGGATGGAGAGATTACTACGAATAGGCGTACCACGGTGCACACACAGCATTACAACTAAGCGTACGGCACGTACCGCAGTAAATAAATCGTACCATTAATTTGCACTCGTTGTGTTGCACGTATTTCTGCATCTGTTCGTACGTTTTATTTCTTAATTGCTTTAAAGCGCTGTGGAAAGTTAAACGGCTGCGGTACTACAAGGAAATACGTAAGTAACTACGCTACCATGACAGCATGCTCACATCAGCACCCCTCCTACTCAACATCAGCACCCCTTCTACTCAACATCAGCACCCCTTCTATTCAACATCAGCACCCCTTCTACTCAACATCAGCACCCCTCCTACTCAACATCAGCACCCCTCCTACTCAACATCATCAATCATAACCTTCCCACTTACCTTCACAGCCCCAACCACCAAATACCCATTAACATACCCCATCCTATTCTTAACATGCACCTCTTTCAGCATACCCTTACCAATCATCATCCTAACAATCCTCTCAACTTGTCCTCGCTTAACATCCCTTAACACGCCGTAATACGCACTCTCACGGTAACCATCAACCGCTTTACTCTTCGATCCTCTGAGCACATTAACTATGTGCGTAAGTGAGAGCCTTTCATTCTCACGCACGAGCTTTGCTACGATTTGTGCATGTTCCGTGCAATCAATTTGCTTTGTTTTGCCCGTCTTGTTGCAGTTATCACAGCCTGTGCACCTCTCAGTCAGTCGCTCGTTAAAATACTGCAGTATCTGCTTTCTTCTGCATTCCGTGATGTTCTCGCAGTATTCTATCACTCTGTTCAGGTTATCACGGTCCGTCTCTCTTTTCAGGAGGTTGTTCAATCTGCTCTTATCACCGTACGAGTAGAACAAAATGCACATGCTCTCAAGACCATCCCTTCCTGCACGACCTGTCTCCTGGTAGTAGTTCTCCAACGAGTACGGTATGCTGTAATGTATGACGTACCGTACGTCCCGCTTATTTATGCCCATGCCAAATGCTACGGTTGCTACGATCACCCGTATCTTATCGTTTGTCCATTCTCGCTGTATTTTGTTCCTTTCCTTTTTCGTAAGACCTGCATGGTAGTACATGCTTGTTATGTGGTTGTTCAGCTTGTAACTCACCTCCTCAGCCTCCCTCTTGCTTATCACGTAGATTATGCCTGGTGATGAGGGATAGTACGTGTTTATGAACGATACGATTTGGCTTATCGTGTCTTTTTTCTTGTGCAGCACGATGTATTTCAGGTTCTTGCGGTTGAACGATGACCTGAAGGTGAGCACGTGCTGATCGGATGAGAGCGGCCTATCAGCACCGAACAGACAGCCTTTTACGTCGTACTCGACCCGTTTGGTAGCGGTTGCTGTGAGTGCCATGATGGTGCACCCGAACATGTCCTTGACCATCTTCAGTTTTTTGTAGTCCGGTCTGAAATCGTTTCCCCAGTGTGACACGCAGTGCGCCTCATCGATTACCACCCGTGCGATGTTGCCCTTGAGGATGCCCTGCAGGGCATGTGATTGTACGAGTGTCTCAGGCGTGAGGAACAGTATTTTTACACGTTTGCGCACGTTACCTACCCGTAAACCCTCCCGCAACACCCTAAACACTACATTCCTCTCCTTCACCGTCATACCGCTGTTGAGCGTAAGCGATGAGATGTTGAGCCGTAGCAATTCCTGTATCTGGTCCTCTATGAGCGAGAGCAAAGGACTTATCACCACTGTTACTCTGTCGGTGAGAAGGGCAGGCAAGAAGTAGCACAGGGACTTTCCACCACCCGTAGGCATCAGAACGAATACGTCCTTCTCGTCAAGAACAGCGTTGATGATCTCCTCCTGATTTGGTCTGAAGCTCTTGAGCTTGAATATCTCTGTTAGTGTTCTGTACAGGATGTTATCAGTGCTTTGAACGGTATCAGGAATAGCATCGTTGAACTGATCGTAGAACGTACTCGTACCGGTCATTGTGTTGCTGAGAATGCTAACGGTGTTGCAATCGGTGCTACCAACCTTTTCATCATTGCTAGTGCTCTTACCAATAGTACTGCTAGTGCCCCTACCGATCCTGTCATCAATCCCTTCGTTGATCCTGTCATCAATCACTTCGTTGATCCCGCCCTTAATCACTTCGTTAACTCCTGCACCATTTCCTTTGACAACGCCCTCAATCCCTTCGTTAATTCCCACCTCATCTACACCACGGTCATAGACACCCTTCCGATACACCCACGATTCAATCACATCGTCCGACATTTCCTCAATTATCTCATTTATGCACGTACTGTCCCCTTTTATCTTCTTGATTTTAATTTCCTCGATGTCCTTCTCTTCAAAATCACTCATGCTATGCTCATCAGCACACACCGATCTATCCAACACGCGGTGCACGGCTTTCCGCTGTTCCACCGTATCTTCCGCGCTACCACCCTGCTTTCGTTTTATATCCTGATCACACCCCTTCATCACAGCTTTACTGCCATCACCACGCTCCTTTTGTACAACACGCTGTCCGGTCTCTTTCACGCCAGGCTCACGTGCGCTTTTATATCCCACCTCTTCAAGATCGGTGGACGCGCTCACGCATTCCAAGTCATCGTACGTAAATTCGAGATTGAAGAGCGAATGATCGTCGTTCATGCGTTCATGCATTGATGGCACGTTTTTATTTTTGTTGAGCGCTCCTTCCGTTCTATCTGGCTGTCCTGTGGCGTGCTGTGGGGCATTAACCGTTTTGTGTGTGGTTTTTTTACTTTTATTGGTTGCTGTGTCTGCTCCTGCCTTTTCATCCGTGCTGCTGATCCTGTTCATGCAATTTGTGATTGCTGCTGTGCTATTATGCGTTAGATGATTTACATTTATTTTTGCATTACCATGCATTGCTGTGCTATTATGCATCGCTGTACTGTTTTTTAAAGGACTCGCACCCCTAACATTGCTGACACCCCCTACACGGTTAGTCCTCACCTGTCCATTCACAATTTTCATCCCATTCGTGCAGCCCTTCCCATCCACACCATCGCCCCTCACTCCTCCATTGATACTGTTTACCTCACTTCCAAGTACATTTTTATTCGTGTGCTCTCTTACATCACTAGAATCAAAGAATTGATCTATAATATCTGATGACTCGCTTATGTTATGAGGAATGCCTGTTTTTGAGTGTTTTGCGTTGTGTTCTACCACGGCTGCTATGAAATCGTCGTCTGATGAAAAGTCCATGTCTGTTTTGGTATGGGGGCTGAGGGGAATGATGGGGTTGAAGAATAATGGGGAGGAAGGTCGGGATGTGTGAGAATGATAAGAGATGAAGAAAAATGTAGGGATGGGAAGGGAGGAAGAAAAGTAAGGATGGGAAGGGAGAAAGAAAAGTAAGGATGGGAAGGGAGGAAGAAAAGTAAGGATGGGAAGGGAGGAAGAAAAGTAAGGATGGGAAGGGAGGAAGAAAAAGTGAAGATGAAGACAAAGTGAAGATGAAGTAAACAGGAGACGAAGACAAAGTGAAGATGAAGAAAAAGGTAAAGATGAAGTAAACAGGAGACGAAGACAAAGTGAAGATGAAGTAAACAGGAGACGAAGAAAAAGGTAAAGATGAAGTAAACATGAGACGAAGACAAAGTGAAGGATCAGTTCTGATGTGGTGATCCTGTAAGACAAGATCATCATACCGGTGATGCGCCCTTAAAATACATTTATTTACATCTGTGCCAACCTGCCGGCCTTCATTCATAAAATTTCGTTTGATCGAGCGACAATCGCTTGGTGCCTGTCCTAAAAAATGTAAATTTTTTTTTCTTCCGCACCCCTCAAAATGTCAAGCAAACTGGCACAGGCATGCACGACCATAAACAACGCGAATCAAAGTCAAGCACGCCAAGTGATAATACGCAACATCAACTCGGTAGTACGCAACTTCCTCAACGTCATGCAGCAATACGGGTACATCGACGAGATAACATACATAAACGATCACAGGGTGGGAAAGGTCGTTGTATCGCTGAACGGGCGGCTGAACAAGTGCGGAGCTGTGTGTCCTAGGTATGACGTGAGGATAGATGAGATTGAGGGGTACAGGCAGAGTATCCTGCCTGCAAGGCAGTTTGGACATTTGATACTTACGACCTCTAAGGGAATTATTGATCACAGGGAGTGCATCAACCAGGGAACGGGTGGTAAGGTGCTTGGATTCTTCTATTAAAGGATTGATTTTTTAATTGATCAGATGGGTGAAGTGGCCGTGTTTTTAGCACAGGTTTGTTTTTCTGTTTGGGCATGTTTTCTGGTGTGGTTGCACAGCCCTTTAAAACCGTTATTTATACGATTTGAGCACATTTTTGCCTGCAGAGCAGCGATAGCACTGCTATAATCTGATTGCTGTGATCACATGTCAATCAGAGATGACCTAGTTTTTGACATTGAGGTTCGTTCATTCGCTACCTTTATCGCGTGCTCATGGAGCTTTCTGATATAACAACCGTAATTATAGCACTTCTCGGTTCGTAGACGATAAAAACTGCGCTTGATATTGTCCGCTTGTTGAGAGTGTGCCAAGGTTTTTACATGAAAAAGCGTTGATCCACAGCTTCGCACGAATTCATCCGACCAAACACGTTTTTGTGATTCAACGGGATCGATTACTTGTTTTTGGTTTGCAGAGCATGGAAGATGATGCATCAAACTATTTTCTGGTTCAATCGTACAAATTACATGTTTTATTCCTTTGAGTTTTATTGGTCCGTATTTGTGTAACATGACGTGCGGTTTATTAAAATACATAATACCGCATGTTTGCATGGATCGTAAATCTTGGCCTGTTCCTGCGTTAGACGAAGGAATTGCTTCAAATACATCTCTCTCATCGTAAAAAACGAAATGTTGCACTAAATTTATAGAAATTGATGAGATATGGTGCGAGGTAAATTTTTGATAATGATAATAGAAAGAAGTGAGGCTCATTGCTCTAGTTATCATTCGTACCAATTTTGCTATCAAAAATGACGGTAAAAAATGAACAAAACGGCACTAAAACATTGTGGGAGACGAGCTGCAGTAAGCGTGCGAAGAAATGCTCGCTTATGAATAGATGTGCTCTCACAAGGGAAGAAGCGCTAAAAAGGAAAAGTAGAGATATGAGATTTTTACGCTCAATCACGTATAAGGACGTGCACAAAAGGTAAACGTAATGTTTGATTACATGAATATGCCGGTAGGGTTACGTGGTTTGGATGGTTTGTTGTTTGAAAGTGAGGACATTATCGTTTGGCGCGTGGTGTCCGCCTTGGAGACATAAAGCGTAATGATTTGAAGACATGACCGTGCTACCTTCTATTCTTTTAAGGTGATACGAATCAATAGAATGGTTTTGTTTAGACATAACGTGCTAAATTTAAACTGTCATCGCTGATCAATTTCGTTATTTATGGAAGTCTTCTAATTACGGATCATCGCATCTAAAAGTATAAAAAGTACACGAAAAATCCTTGTTATGGATTTTCATTGCTACGAACTATTCGGTTGGTGCACATTTATACTTTGTGCTCACAATAATCCAAAATCCGACAACATTACGAATTGTGCCATAAAATTCGTGCAAATTAGTAAATCGTACCTGAGAAGCACGGAAGAGACGGATGAGGTGTACGATTCGCTGAAAATGACAACTTTACAATTCCAACAGTACTATCGTTTGGTCTTTTCTTGGTATGATACGCTTTGTGAAGTGTCCAAATTTAAACCATCCGATTCTCGCCTAAATATTTTGCGAGCCCTGATTAAGAATGTCTTTGCATCTAAATCTGACACAGAGTCAAAGACTTTTGAAGAATGTTATGCGAATTTAAAAGCAAATTCAGCACGATTTTTCATATGGACCGATTTTGCTGGTATCAGGGTTGAGGTGGAAAATTTTTTTACCATAATGCACGAATCTTTGAAGTTCCTGTCAGTTATACATTTAATATCTCTAAACACTTCAGTTCTGGAGCAGAATCATTATTTATATTTTGAGTCATTAAAAATTGGCATGCTTGATGCCGAAAAATATTTAGCATCTAATTTATCAGAAACAAAAGAGATTAGATACGTATCCATCGAACGTTTCGACGAGTTGTTCAGAATATTGAGAGATTGCAAGCATATGGTAACAAATTTGATCTTTTTTTTTGAATCGAGGAACAGTTCACTTATTCGGTTTATGAATAACGAGCCGCTGGCTCGAGTCGATGATCTGAAATCCGTTATGTTTCCGAATAATGACAATAAAGCGAAGAAAAACGATTTTTTGCATCCCTTATTGGATCCGCTTCCAGAAAACGATGATATACCAACGACTAGTATTGTGGCTGACAAACGCATTTTTGGGTTGGACGAAAAAAGCTTTGTTATAGGTGATTGCAACGAAAATAAAGGGAATTATAAAAGATGCTTAGGATGCTTACGCCCAGAAAATATGATCGGTCAAATGGTTTGGAAGCGATTACAGCCGGATAATAGCGATGAAAAGCGTGATGAAGGAGTAGAAAAAAAGTTTAAACCACATAATAACTATTGTTGGAAATGCGGGCACGGTTTCATGTTCAACCGAACAGGTATCTGGACACCTTGTGGAAAGGATGACATAAGAGTACAAGAGTATTTAAAGTGTTTCGAATAAAATAATTTTCTCGTTTTTTATTGTTAACGTAAAGGTCGTAGCCAAGAATGTATACAGCATCTTTAATTGTGCATTTAGATTTTGTCATCACATCGACAATTGGAGTAACTAGATTGGTAGAGTACCATGTTTGTGATATTTATTATTTTCCAGTAATTAAATTGTTATTTAACCTTTTCGCCACGAACACATTCTCCGGTGAGCTATTCCAGTTGAATAATCTGCTGCGCCACAAGTGCACACTTGCGAAACAACTTTAATCGCCTATCATGCGCTTAGTGTCGCAATAACTTACTCAGAGCGAGTATAATCGCCCGTAAAACGGGAATGATTTAAAAATTACCGAACAATGCAATCGGAAAATATAATTTAGTAACGTAATTTTGTTTTGAAATTTGAAAATATACAGAAATGCACAAAGCCTTACCTTGCATTGGTAATGTGTCTGTCGTCGGACATCATTTCTAGTACAAGCAATACGCTTTCTCAATCATTTTTTCATTTCGTTCTCTCGCTAGTGTAAATGGGACGTGTATATCCATGAACCTCAGTGGATATTTATCCGCTAATTTAAGTGAACTTTGTCTAGCATCATCTTTATGGCATTCTCGTAAAATTTATCGCATTAATTTAAGATGAAAAGCAGCTGTAGAAATATTTTTTCTCATTTTGTGCTGGTATAAGCAATAAGAATTCCAATAAACTGTGTCTAGCCAATAAAAAAGTACTTCTTGTTCCATTTTATAGATCTGCTGATGTATTTAATGGCAATAATCATATCACACTCGTCGATAACACCCATCAAAGAGTTATAATCAACCATGTATTATGGTTTAGGTACAAGTTCTCAGGTTTCATTATTTCTCTTTCTTGTGCATATAAATTCGCTGGTATGGAAAGTAGATAACATAAATACGCCCGTTTTATCACGCAATTTAAGGGCTTATAAATTACTTGATGTCCAAAACCTCGCTTATTTTTCTTTTCTGTCTATTTTTTTGGACATTGCCTCACAGTCTTACATGCGTTTGTTACATTTGTATGCGATAAATTAGAATTAGCAGGATCGCTGTAATAATTACCAATCATCATTCATTCATATAAATAAAAAAACAACTCAAATGTTCAGAAATCAGTTCTATGGAACAAGAAATATTACCTTTTAGGAAAAATAAAAAATTTTGTTTCATGTATTTGCACTGCATGAAGAGTCTAAAGCTGTTGTACAACTCATTCTTTCTGAGATGCACTTAGTAATCATTTACAAACAATATTTTCATTCTATTTTTATTTATTCAACCCCTATCATTATTTGGTTGGCTGTTTTTATGAACACCACCACGTCTAATCAAAATGCATGAAATAAATAACATATCTGCACTTTTAACTTTTGTTTGATTTCCTCAATATTGTAACAAATTATGATGGCATTCACAATATATTTAGATGATTTACCAGAAAAAGAATGAAATACAAAGAAATGGATGTAAAAGTGAGTTTTTGGTCAATTTAACAGAACATAACATCACAATCAAACAGATGTTTTGGTGAACAGTTTGTATGTTCTCATCATTGACTAACGTTCATTTTTCTGGAAGAATCAAAACTATAAATAAGTTAAGAAGTCGATGCATCATGTTTCCAGATTTTGACAATACGCCAACTGAAAAGTTTTTGGTGGAAAAGACACAATTGTTAAATCCTGGTGGTTTTGTCTGTGCTGTAGATAATCAGCTGATTGTCTACCGCGGCAAAGCTTT